ACTTAGCTAATTAGTTAACTATTACTTAGCTAATTAGTTAACTATTAGATAGCTAATTAGTTAGTTAGTTAGTTAGTTCATTGATTATGAATAACTAATTAAGAAGTAATTAGCGAATACCTCGATAAACGAATTAAGAACAAACTTGAAAACTTCAGGATAGGCCTTAGGATATGAGCCGCATATATGGTAAAATTTTTAGCGAGATCGGACTTCAAAAAGTTCTTTCCAAGAAATCGAAATTTCGTAGCCTTTAAATAGAGTTGAAACGAAAAACGTTTGTTTTAGTATTATTCTAGGAACTTTTACCATTGACATGAGCCCCTTGGAATCAATATCGAACTTTTCAGTTCGTTACCAGAGCATTTGATCGATAGTGAAGTCGTACTCAGTCACATCGCTAACGCCGAACATATTTTATGTTTTTGAAAAATCTAGACATGCTCACAATAATTTTACACCGGGATTTAGTAGCCTTAGGAGTCATGTCTAGCTATCGCGTATTAAGTTTTCGGCGATTGTGCAACACTTGAAAATTTTTAAAAACCAATGTATATCAAGTAACAATTGATGTCACCTCGCTAACAAATGATTTAGCCCATAATATCTATTATTTAAATTAAAATAATTTGAAATAGAAAATGTTATTACAGATAAAAAAACAAAAACAAAGTTTTGATGAAAATTTTGTTAGTCTGAAAAAAAATCAGTTTCTAGAAAATTAACTTATAGAAATCTAATGGATTGTTTCCTTGCAAGTAAAACATAGATTAGAATGTGATACAAACAAGTTTTTGCAATCGTCTGTTTCTTTTTTACAACAAAAAAATTTTTATATTGATGAAATTTTCTCAAAAAATTTGACTTTAATTTTTCATCTACTTAACAATTTATTTAAATATGAAATTGTTTACATTTATTAGAGTGACATTAAAATTGAGTTCATCATCAAAAACTGACTCGAATGATAAGTGTGATAAAAGAATATTTCACGTGATCTGCGGGTGAATGTACTGAAAAAGAGAACTGAGAAGAAAACCAGATGTCTTCTTTTGTCAAATATATCATTTGACTCATTTTTTTTAAAAGCTAAACTCAATTCTAATGTTTTATTTGTTGCTTTCGATACAAGCGATCGAATCTAAGGCTTAAACTAAATAAAAAAAAGCCTTCTGTATCTAACAAAATATAAAGAATTTCATATTTGTATATAAACCAAAGACGATCGTACAATCAAAAAAAACGTTCGTCAAAGTCATTCACACTTGCGAAGGCAGAAAAACTTATTCTTTCATGTTGTCGATAGTTTAGAAAGCGAAAAAAAAAATTTATCACCTTATTGTACTAGAATGTTTCTATTATTATTTTTTTTAGGCTGCTTACCCACCTAATCATTATATACGTCAAGTACCACAACGTAAAATTCATTTATTTACATTTTTACAATTAATTCAACTTTCAATTTTATGTATATTGGGATTTTCACCAATACTTTATACGAAATTAATTTTACCAATATGGTTGGTTGTTATGGTTGCTTTTCGATATCGAATATTACCAAAAATAATTGCAACGAAATATTTACGAGCATTAGATCAACGATTATAGATTATTTTAAAAAAAAAATATATATTTTCTTTTTTCTGAACAAAATATTGTTTTATTATGCATGAAAAAAACAAAAAAAAAATATCATTGTGATTAAAATATTTATTAGAAATTGTTCGTTAAAAAGTTTAGATAACGAACTAATATATCACACAGTTTAACAACTTTTTTTTTATTTTTTATTTTTCCATATCTCAGTTTTGATACGACAAGTTCAAGTATAAATATATCAGAATTATATCAAAAACAACAATAAAATGACAATGTTAGCTATCATAATAAAAAGAATCGTCATTATTGATAAAAATTAAAAAGTAAAGTATCATTCAGAAAAGATAAGATGCTGAGACACACACACAGAAGAATGAAAATTTTCTTTATTTAGAATAATATAAACATGTGATGCCATACAGTAGAACTTGAAGTCGGACTACTTTTTTTTTGTGTACTGCAATCATTTATTAGAACATTGTAAAAAAAAGAATTTTTCTTTTTATATCATCGTGATTATGAACTAAATAGTGTTTGAAGAATTTTAGTACTTGAAAAAAGAACAGCATCAGGAATAACCCAAAGATCAACATACATTCATGAATACTTCAACTTCTCAAAGACTTTTATCTATTAATATAAACTTTTATAAATAAAATATCTACAGATAAATTTCAAAGATCAAGATATCGAGTACTATTTTCAGTTTTACTAACAGAAGTTCAAACAGGTCACGCTTTTTAGGCCTGCACGGTCTGTCAAGCTTTTCGAGCGAGTACAATAATGATGACAGACTAAAAACCAGAGGTCCAAACAGAGCACTAGGGCTATTGCTTAACCTGATTCTGACCTGCCTGCTATAGGCATCACCCATGGTTTTCAGACTAGTGCAAGTGACAGGCCAAAAATTGCTTGGACCTCTGACGTGCACTACTCTGAAAACCATGGGTGATGCCTATGACAGGCAGGTCAGGATCAGGTTGAGCAATAGCGCTAGTGCTCTGTTTGGACATCTGGTTTCTAGTCTGTCATCATTATTGTACTCGCTCGAAAAGTTTAAAAACCGGGCAGGCCTAAAAAACTAGGGGCCGACAAGCGCAGCTCAGAGGAACTGTTCGAACAGCTCTTTTGAGCTGAGTTGAACTGGTTCGTTTGAGCTGTGTTCCTGTTATGACCTGTATCTTCTTCAGATGCAGTCATAAGGGTTTTCCGTCTTTTATACATATAAGCTTGTGCTCTGCTTCTTTTCTCTTTTGTTAGTCATACACCAATGACTTTCCATTTCTTTCTTATATGTTGGCACTTTCTCATTCGTTCTTCTTTCTTTCACGTTGTCTTATGGATATTTCCCTCCTTTGTTCATTGTTTGTTATTACTCTATATATAGCGTTACGTTGTTGTGTGAAAGTGAGAGAAATATAGATAGACAGATAAAAAAGTAGAGTATAGTTGGATAAAGATCTCACAGTTCCCAAAAACAGAACAATTTTGTTCTTTTATGGGAATTATTTTCCGAAAACGGAACAAAAGTGTTCTGTTTTTGGAACACAGCTCAAACGAACCGGTTCACCAGTTCAGCTCAGCTCAAAAGAGCTGTTCGAACAGTTCCTCTAAGCGGAACTGAGCTGAGCTTGTCGACCCCTATAAAAAACGTGGCCTGTTTGGACCTCTGTTTACTAATACTTATCCCATTTAATGTAGCAGATAAGTGCACTCAACCTTATATGTAAATGACGAATATTATTGAATCAAATAAATATTCTGATTTTATTCTCTGATGAAATAAAATCATTCGAAATAGTCGCATAATAAAGATTTCAGTTTGAAAGCAGCAAAACTCAAAAATAAAATAAAACTTGATGTTTTTAGTTTTTTTTAGTCAAATATTCACATCAAGTAGAATTCGATTCTACATTTGATTAGATTCAATCGAATTCTCGATTAAACTCAAATTTTTATTAATATATTACATTCTACATGAGTTAGTAGATTTATTTTTTGTTTTTTAAATAAAAAGAAAAGAAAAAAAACAAACTTCATCTTAAAGATACAGAGTAACTCTGATATGAAAAAAAAAGAATGTTTTAGAGACAGCACATAATTGTCAATTGTATGCTTCATATTTTTCTTCTCGGTTGAATCTGATAAATAAATTTTCTAATACCATAAAAGAAAACTAAATTGTACGTTATGGCAAAAAAGTATAATAATAATGAAATATACATGTATAAGTTAAAAATCTAAGTAAATAAATGTTTAATGCATATATATATACAAAGAATAACTTCAAAAAGTATTTATCATTTCACAATTATTGCTGGTGGTAATTGACGATCTGGTAAAACTTGTTGATGAAGATATTCATATTGACGACGTGTTTCAGAAATCTTAATAAAAAAAAACAAAATTTTTTTTGTTGAAAATCTCAAAAAAACGAAAATTTGAATTTACTTGTTGTAAAATTGCTTTTTTTCTTTCTTCTAATTCATGTTTAACACGTTTAAGTTCGTCAACTTCTTCATATAAGGATTCAACACCAATTGCTTTTCGTTTTCGACAATTTTGTGCTGCAATCTTTTTTTTTATACAAATTTTATTTTAATAATAAAGAAATTCAAAAAAAAAAAAACTTCGACATACTTTATTTTTTCCACGACGACGAATATCTTTTATAATATGTATTTGTTCAGGTGTTAAATAACTTAAACGTGATAAATGACGATTATATTCTTCTGTACTTGATTGAGTTATATCATTTAAAGTTAATGGAATATTATTTTGATGTAAAGCATCTTCATCTTGTTGTCCTTGATAATATGAACGTGTACTTGAACGTCTTAACATAATATGTGATAATGAATCTCCATCGGATTCAATCTAAATAATAAATTTTTTAAATAATAATATTTTATTTTCATTAAATTCTAATATATATATATATACTTTTTCTGATTTTGTATCATCAAATGTTGTTTCACTATAATTCTATAATAAAAATACAAAATAATAATTAAAATTTTTTTTTTTTTTCTTAAAATTTTATTTCAAATACTTCTGATTAAAAAAATTATAATCAATGATAATTCATTATTGTTGCTACTATTACTACTTACTGAATATTCATCATCGACTAAAACACTTAAAGGATTAATTAATGTTGATTCATTAGTAGTAGTAGTAGTAGTAGTAATATTTTCATTAGATAATGAAATAATATTTGATGATGATAATGATGATGTTGGTGTTATTTCATTTGATGTATTTTCGTTACTATCAATAAATTGATTTGGATTAGTAAACATGATACTATCACTACTTTTGTCAAGATTTAATAAAGTTGAAAACCAATCTGAATCAGTTTGATCGTCAATATTGTCAAATAATGGAATAGGAATACTATCAAAAATTAATTCACTATTATCTGCTGTTGTGATTGGTAAAATTTGATTAGATGATGCCTCAATATTAGATAAATATTCTTCGATCCATTTCTATAATGAAAAAACAAAAAAACCGAAAATTGCACAATCATTCTTTTTGTAGTAAAAGGTTATTTGTTAAATAAATAAAAACAATAACAATAACAACCGAGATAACGTACATCATTTGGTGTAGGAGAAGAAGAAGTGTTTGATATCAAAGTCGATTCACGAAAGATTTTCTCACCTGAAAACATAAAATGAGAAAGAACAGGTTATATCAATATTTAACTTCATAGATGATGATAACATTCGTTTGATATTTTATGAAAAAAAATAATAAATATTCGTTTTAAAATCATCTCAAATTGTTCCCTAATACATAAATTTAATTCAAAAGTAAGTCATTAACTATTTCAAATATATTAACATAATCAAATAGAATTGAACAAAACTATTTTTCTTTAAGTCTTATAAACATACCGGTTTCAGGATCTATATCATAATCATAACAACTATCATCATCTGACATTGATGCATCATCTTCATTAGTTGTTAATTTTTTTCCATTATTTGTAAATTGTATTTCAGCTGAATAAACTGTAAAATCAAATGTTTTGTCTTTTAGATTAAAATCATTTATTGAATCATCAATATCAATCCAATTCGGTGGACGTACACCTAATTCATCTATATCAATAGCTAATAATCCATCTTGTTCATACATCAAATCCATTTTTATTATAATTACTAGATCAAAAACCAAAAAGTAAATAAATATTTTTATATAGTGACACTGACAACAGTGTCGTTTTGTGTCTAAGAAGAAGAAAAAAAACAGACACAAAAATACTAGTTAGACGAGAAAGCATAAAAGAAAAATAAGAAACAGAACATAAAAAGTGGTATTGCGTTTTTGTTCTACTGCAACGAACGAGTAAAAATAAGAAAGAAAAGAAAAAGACGTAGTTTATGTTCGTCATCGTACTTCTCGTACGGTCATGTTTTGCATATTTTTTTTTGCTTTTTCTTTTTATAATCTTAAAAATAGAATAGTAATAATCATATTGTTGATTAATATAAAAGAACAAATAAAAAAAAACATGTTTTCCAAAGAAAATTTTTCCATCCCCCCCAAGGCAATTATGTAAATCTTCGTATTTTTTTTTGTTTTGTTTTGTCTATATTTCAGTTAAAATAAACTAGATCTATAACTTATATTAAATGAAATATTTTTGCTTAATTAAATATGATTTTTGTTTTTTCTATCTGGAATACTTTCAAATTCATCAGGATTATTATTTTCACATTAAAAAAGACTTGAATATTTGTTCTTAATATGAAAAGAAACCATAAAATATATCATGAAAATAAAATCAATGTTGAAAGACCTTGCTAACAACTTGTTTGAACTTTTTTAATCATATATATATATATATATATATTCCTTTTGGGGGAACAAGTATATGTTTAAATGGTATCAAAATAACAGTTGCAAAAGAAGATATTCTTTTAATATGAAAGTTTTTCGAGATATGACTTGTATAATTTCATTACAATATCAATATTTCAAAACCTATAGATTATTAGTATATAATAAGAATAATTACAAACATGAAAAAAAGTAATCATCTATCTGAATAATGACAAGAGTTGTATCTTTAAATTTTTCTAATTTTGTCTCAAAACAATATCAGAATATTTTCTACACAGAGTTACACGAAGAGAATCATTACGAATTGTTTTCTGTACAGATTATATTTTAATATCATTAAAATAGATACTTGATTCTAAAGAAGTTTGTTTTTCTTTTTCTATTTTAACTATAATCTAGTCTTTGTAAATGAAAAGTAAAAGGACATTTATTTTAGAAATTTTGCAATACCAATTATGCTCATGAAAAGTGTAATGTCTAGCTCATCAGACAATCATTACAGATGTCAAATAATTTTTTTGATCGGAACGATATTGATTTTATGAGTATCATTGAATAATAGAAAAATCAAGAATGATTTGTTTTACGAAGTCTTCGTTCTCAAGATATCGAAATTTTACTAAATTTTCAATAAAAAGCTACGGTTTCCGTCAGATCAAATGAAAAATTGAGTTTCGATTTCAAACTATGTACGAACAAAATCTTCAATGAGATTTCTTGTATCTTGAGATATTCGAAATTTTCTTATATATCAAAGCAAATTTTGTTCATATATTTATATCTTCACAAACGAAATATTAATTGTATAATCAAATGATCTCATTAAAAACTTATTTAACCTATTGTAAGAACGAAGATGCAGAGAATTAAATCATAGTAAAATTTTATATTACTTTATCAAATGAACATTGACTCAGTTGAAAAACACGATTTAATATTTTTAATTAAATTTAATTCGTATAGTTAGATAAATTTTTCTAAGAACATATGATAAGTACTTCCTGATTATAAGATATATATCAATTAATGTTATAGAAATAAAACAAAATCATTATTCTTATGTTTTGAATTTTACACATTATTATATTTCTATAATCTTTTAATAGAAAATAATTCTTTTTAAAACTTTTTGTATTATAAGAGAAAACTTTTACAATACTAAGAAAACAAAATGTAAGAAACTATTCATTAATAAAATAATTGTTCATAAAAAGTAATCTCATATGATATATTCACATTTTAATAGAAAAAATTAATCAATATAACTTTTCAATTTCGATTTATTTTAAATCAAAATCTTCTACTGTTAATACACTACTTTGTTCAACATTTAGTCACAAGGTACTGTATTCAAATCACACTACTACTACCAACTATGAAATGACTCATAACAAGTCACTAACGATCATTAGTATGCCGATCACATTATGATATACACCCACTCTTATGGCTAGTATTTAGTTAGTGTATATGATGAACTCAAGTAATTGCGTACTTATATAAATGAATGGCAAGATCGATCTTTCTATCATTTAAAATACGGAAAATTCTCTTATAAATCATACAAATTTGTTTTGTATATCATCTTTCAATCTTTAATTATTTACAAATATTTTATATTATATAAAATTATTAATATCAATATAAACAAATAAAATGACTCATACATATTTATAGTATATACACTTAAGGACATCGATTACGACAGTGATATGTAAATTATTTGTCAATATTATTTTGACCTACTCAAAACGAAATATTCTCGGAACTGAATTTTATGTATTAATAGTACGATTATTATTCTTTTTCCCCTCTCATTTTATGTAATACATAGAATGCATGCGTTCGACGACCACGTCAATATATATATATATATACATATTACGCACGACAGTACATACACTTTTATTAATCAACTTCTTATGTATGTACAATTTAATGTAGGTGTAAAACCATGGTAAATGACTCACTGTTTTTTTTTTGTTTTCTATTTTCAATTGTTTGATTTTTACAGATATAAAGATATGATTAATTTATCTAATATTGATTGATTAATGACTTTATTTTAAATTTTTATCTAAAAACAAAAAAAAAAGGAATCATTATCATATAAAAAAATCAGTTTCAATTAAAAAAAAAAAAGAAAAGAAAAAATGTAAATCATGAAAAAAATAATAAATGTCTAATAAATCATGTCATCAATGCATCTAATTGACTTTGAATTGATTCAAGCTAGAAAGATTAACAAAAAAAAAAAAGAGAAAAAATTAATTTAATAATTACAAATTTTTTCTTTTTTTTTTAGTTATTTTACCTTTTCGAAAAATGTATAAAGTTCATCTTTATTAAATTCAGTTTGTATATTTTCAATTTGCTAAATATATATATATATTTCAAATATTCTCATAGTTATATATATATTAATTCTTACTTTTGTTTGTTCATTTTTAAGTTGAAATTCATATATAGCTATTGGTCGTTTAACTTTACTTTTACTTGATTGTGTTATACCAACATCTAATGTCCAATGTATATCAGATAACTATCAAAGAAAATATTTTTTGATTTATTAAAAATAAATAATAATCAATCTTACTGAATATGAAGCAATATGAGAAGTTTTTAAACGTTCAACAATTTCTTTTGCATTTATTGACCATTGTTCAACAAATATTTTTGCCTTTTAAAATAAAATATGATTGATAAAAAGTTTTCTTATTGAGCTTTTTTTTTGTTTTTTACTTTATTTTCATCAAAATTTTGTTCATTAATTAAATCATTTTCAAGTATTTGTGGTTTTATTAAATGATATGCTGATTGTAGAAACATATATTCAATTGTTTCAATTATTTGTTTAATATTATCTATTGATAAATTAAAAGCATTTTCTAATTTATTTAATTCATCTATTGTAAATATTGTTTCATTCTTAATTATTTAGATAAAAAAAAAAATAAAAAATAAAGGTCAATAAAATAATTTAATAAAAATAAAAAAGATAGATTTTTACTTGTTGTCCTGTTTTTTCAGCAATACGTTGAATAAGTTTTTTAAATTTTGCTTCATCTAATGAATTTATATGTTGAATTGAAGTTTGTATTCTAATATATAGGATAAAAATAATTTTAATTTAATTTAATAAATATAATTACTTTGAAGAACCATCTGCAAATATTGAATTAGACATATTTTGTTTAAGTAAAAAAAAAAGATGATATAACCAAAAAACGATGTATGCATCACATATAGTTTTATTATGAGTCATAATTAACCAATCCAAATAAAGTTTTTCGAAAGAACATTCGGAATGAAAGGATATCTATCGGCATGAAATAAATACGCAATGCAGTACTACCCCATGTCGATAGGACACGCTACCGACACATGTGTCGACACAATGACACGATGGACGTACATGTAACGACACGTGTTGACACAGTGAATTTTTTGTACATCATGTGTCGACACATGTGTCGGTAACGTGTCTTGGACATCGAAGGGTATATCATGGACTATAATACAGGAAAGAAAAAAAACGATTGTATATATAGGATTAAGTTGGGTATTTTTTTTTAAATTAAATTATTATCTGTTTTTTAACTTCTAAATTAATTTATCTATTTTTCTAATTTAAAAAGAAAAATTATGCATTACTATCGATATTTTAAATCAAATTATTATTTTTTTTCAGACCTTTTTATTAATTTATTATCTATTTTTGTAAATTTTTAACCTGATTTATTGTCTTTTTTTTAGATTTTTTAAAATAAAATGTTATACACCAGTATGAATTTTTTAAATGAAATTATTAGTTTTTCTGATCTTTTTATTAATGCATTATCTATTGTTATACATGTTTTAAATTGATTAATTATCTTATTTTTTTAAAGTTTTTTCAGTTATATTATTTATTTATTTTTGTACCTTTTCAAACTAATTTATTATGTTTTTTTAGACTTGAAAATAAATTAGGGTCTATTTTGTCACATGTTCTAAACGAAATTATTATTTCTCTTTTAGATGAATTATTGTTTTATTTTGTTGTAGATTAATTAAGCCTTATCGTGCTCATGTCAATCTCAAACAAACTTAACACAATGAAGAAAAAATTTTTTTTAAATTTATTTTTACAATGGTAAGTCTATTTTATAGAATTTTTAACTGCTTTGACTGTATAGATGTTCATATTATTTTTAATTTTTCTGTATCGACAATTTTTCTATCATTTTATTTTATTATGTACATGTATTTTTATTTTTTTTTGTATACACTATTTTTATTTTTTTTTCTATACTTTTTATTATGTTATTTTATTCTCTTGATTTTTTATTATTTTTTTTATTTTATTTTATAGACGTTTTTCTTGTTAGTTTTTTTTATTATTAAAGAAAGTAGAAAAACGTTCTTAGAATAAAATAAATAACATAATAAAAAAAAGTGTCTATACAATAAAATAAAAATAGCAAGAAAAGTATATAAAATATTAATTCTATAAAAATTTTTCTTATTTTTTCTTTTTATTGTATCTACATTTTTTCTTCTTATTTTATTTGACTTTATGATTTAGACATGTTTTTTACTATTTCGTTTTAAAAATAATAGATTTTCTATTATTTTTAGCTTCATTCTATAGACTTTGTCCAGTGATTTTTTTTATTAATAATAAAAGAAATGATAAGAAAAATAGTCTATAGAATAATGCAAAAAGTACTGAAATATCTATACAATAAAACGAAATAATAAAAAACATGTCTAAATCATAAAGTCAAATAAAATAAGAAGAAAAAATGTAGATACAATAAAAAGAAAAAATAAGAAAAATTTTTATAGAATTAATATTTTATTGTATAGACACTTTTTTATTATGTTATTTATTTTATTCTAAGGACGTTTTTCTACTTTCTTTAATAATAAAAAACTAACAAGAAACACATCTACAAAATAATTATTGTGTATATGTTTTTTGTATTTTTTCATGTTCTTTTTTTAAATAAAATTAAAGTATTTGGTAAATAATTCTGGCTTCAAATCATAAAAGTACAGGAAAAAAATCGAGAGACAGGGAAAGGGTTAGTCATCACCAATGTCTATTGGCTGACTGCTAGCGACAGAAAATGGACCAATAGAATTATTAGAAAAATGACACTGACACACGTATGACACAACGGCCGTACATGTGTTGACACATCATGACACACGTTACGTACATGTGTCGACACACCATGACACTGTGTCAAAACGTGACAATACTTCATGTGTCGACACAATTGTGTCGACACATGTGTCGGTAGCGTGTCCTATCGACATGGGACTTATCGATATAATACTTCCGATCGAAATAACGGATTTCATATTAAAAAGTAATTAGAGTAGAATGACGTTGTCAGAATGGAAATCTAATAGTCAGTAAACTAATCCTTATTAATATTAGATACAAAAATAGTTCCGACATTTGTTACGATAATGATGAATGAAAAGTAATTTCTATAGATTATTTTTGCAAGTTCGGATAGTCTTAGATCATTTGTAAATTGATTGAAATTGTAAATCGAATTGATAATCTATTTGAATGACTCGAATGATTTGACAATGAGAACTATAATCAGACGGTAAGGTCTGGCATAAATTCTAACATGTTCATGGAAAAATTGTAACATATATGACGAACTTACATCAAGGAGTGACATATGCTTTTACAACATCTGATCTATATATAACATTAGAATGTCGAATAGTTTGGATGATGATCATATTCGACATGAATTTTGTTCAATTTTAAATATTTTTATTCATTTTTTATTTTCATTTACTCAATTAGCTATTGTACTTGCTATATTAGGTTTACTAATAGCATTAATAGTGATATTTATGTATGACGTTCACGATCAACAGTTACTGGTGAAACTCAAAGTAATTCAGATATCGTTTTTGCTTGATATAAAAAATTTTATTACAATAAAAGAAAATAATGATCAGCATTTTCTGGAAATAGAATTGATTTGTTAATGTAATGTTGTTTTACTTTCGAATAATTGACTCGTGTAAATTGATTTGTGAAAGTATTTGTCACATTTAGTAAATCTTCATACTTTGTATCAAATACAAAACATTGAGAAAAACATTTATTTTCATTAGATAAAAATTGATTAATATAATTTATATGTGTGCAGAATAACATAATTTTTTATATTGTATATAGTCGGAAAAACTTTTAGAAGCTGACAGATTTTCCATCTAATCATGCGGAGCCTTTCAGATCATTCTCTTATTCAATATTTCTAATCAATCGAACTTTCTTATCTATATTCCATAGAATAAAACTTGTTTAAATCGATCATTTCTGTTATTATATTATCAATATATGATTAAAACTTCGAACCTATCGTGTTAAGGAGTAGAGAACACATAAAACTAATTGAAATTATTACTAATGTTTTAATTATGATTGAACGAAGAAAAAAAATATTAATCACAGCTTAAGAAATTCTTTTTTATTTTATTATCAAGAAAATACAACGAATGTTTGTGTTAATATGAACAATAGAGAACTAAACTGAAGAAAAAGACAAATAAATCAACGATGATTAAAACCTGATCATTAATTCATCATCAAATTATGTTCTCGATCAATTAAAATTCTTGATGTTGAACTGTTAGAAATACACATTATATCAAAGCCAAGAAGATTAATAAATAAATTAATGATCTATTATTTCAAAATACAGAAAATATATCTTTTTAATATAAAAATAAAGCAAAATCTTACCATGAATTTTTCATTTAATTCATAACAAAACATTTTTCATGTTGCAGGAGTGGTAGTTGAGTCAAATAATAATGGATCAGATAATCGTTGAGTAACATTTTCCTTAATGTTAATAAAATAAAAATATATTCAATATATTTGTATTTTATTTACGGTTGATGACTCACGTTCTTTTCTTCAAGATCAGCATAATAACAGGAGAATTTCGAATAACATGGAATATTGCGATAAAAAAAAAAGATTTGTTTTATGATTATAGATAATTTAAATACATACTTTGATAATATATTACAGAGCGCATTTGTGTTTTTTTTATTGGAATATAAAAGTTTTAATTTTATTTCTTTTAATTTTTGATGAAATTCCCAATATATATTTTTGTTTTTAATTGTTTTTGTTAGCATAAAGATAATTATATTTAAATCTGTTGTTGTTTCAAGTTCTTCATTACGAATATCATTTATGAAATAATTCATTATTTCCTTTAGAATATGAGCTTTATTGTCCAAACCATTACCATTTATTATTAATGATTCCATGACAGCTTTTAAACCAAGATTTGAAATGTAACGTAATTGTTTAGTAATTGTAGATACATTTGTACAATTTGAACATAATGTTTGACATATTATTCGAATTTGATCTTCTTTTATTTTATATACTAATAAACTAAGACATTTAACAGCTTGATTTTGTACTTCCTCATTTGTATTGTTTAATAATTTCAAAACAATTTGAACAATTTGACGTTGAGTATCATTATCTAATATAAATGATTGCCTTTGTAAATCACTCATTACATCTGATATTGTTATAAGACGAAAATCTTCACCGATTAACGACATTTTATCTAATATAAAAATTGAAAATAACAAAAAAAAAGATTCATATTTTATTATTTACCAATTCGATAAAAAGCAGATCCAAATACAAAAATTGGTGTTGCTTCAATTGTAATCGGTTGTACATCATTATTATCAACATGGTAAGTTAAATAAAGATAATTCATTTGTACGGGCCATTCAGCAGGTACAGCATCGATTTGTTTAACGAATGGTCGTATATCAAATCCTTCACGTGATCCACGAACTTCAGGTTCACTACTACTACAATACATTGCAATTTGTTTATCAGAAAAACCAAGACGTTTGGCTTCGAGTAGAAGTGATCGATCTTCAATTGCTGATGCATCCGAATGATTAATAATAAATTGAATAATCGAGGAAAATTTGTCGAGAAACCATCGATTAATTTTTGTTAATTCGAATAAACGTTCGATAGTGTATCCTTGACGAAGATCTGTTGCTAATGCGAAAACACGTTTATCTGTAGGAGTAATTAATTCCTAGAATAAAAACAAATAAAATCAAATATAAAATAAGCTTTTATTGATATTACATCATCAATAACCGTTCTTGGAAATGGATCAAAACCAGTTACATTTTCATGAATCATTCTTAATGCTTGTTAAAAAGCTTCTTCGAATGATTTGCCAATCGATATAACTTCACTAGTAGTTTTTACTAATTAAAACAAAATGATTATCTTTAATAATTAAAATCTTTATCACTTACTAGAAATTTCACTTCCATCTGAACGTCGAATAAAATTTTTTATTTCCAATTTCGGAACTCTAATTGTCACATAGTCAAGACTTGGTTCTAACCAAGCACATGTTTGATTTGTAATACTATTTTTTAATGTAACTAAACTTATTCCAAGTGCAAGTTTAGCTGTTATATATCCTAATGGATAACCAGTTGCTTTTGATACAAATGTAGATGAACGAGATAATCCTGAAGTTACTTTAATTATATAATATTCAACACATAATGGATTTAATGCAAATTGTACATTACATGTACCAACAATGTACAAATAACGAACAACTTTAATTGATACACTTCGTAATAAATTATATTCATCACTTGATAATGTTTGACTTGATGCAACAACAATTGATTCACCAGTACGAAGTGATAATGGATCAATATTTTCCATATTATATACGACAATACAATTATCATATTGATCTCGAACAACTTCATATGCAATCTTTTTCCAACTATTAAGTGATTTATCAATTGTTAATTCTAATTTTGATGAATGAGCGGAGACTGAAGTAACAAAATCAATTAATTTTTTACGATCATCGGCAAAACCTGATTTATGACCACCAAGTGGAAGAAGAGCACTAAAAAGAACAGCTATTCAAGAGAAGTATTCAGAATATCTACATACCGAACGTTAACTGGGTAACCAAGCCGTTCAGCTGATTCCAATGCCTAAAATAGATCATTAGAGATTATATTTCAAATCTTTTTCATCAAATCTC